AACAGTTCAAAATGTTTAGAAACGATTCCAACCTGGATCAGGTTCTAGTCCAGGTTAAATGAACCCGGTTGGGACCCATCAGAGAGCAATGATGAGTTTCTGTTTCTCCTGCCGGGTTCGTTTCAGATTCTCATCGTAACGTTTGTTTGTTTTTTACTGTAAATCTTCAACTGGATTCAGTTTCGATCTGCAGGAGGTTCATTTCAGGTCAGAGCCAAACTCTTCACTCTGGTACCCAAATACTGGTTTCCATAGCAACGCAGCGATGAGAGCGTGCAGAACCGGCTCGGGATGGAGGCTGAGTGAGCGAGCGTGTGAGTGTGAAAGCAGAGGGAGTGAAAGGGAAACTGGAGATCTGGGGCGTCAGCAGTTTTGGTGGCAGATCGCTGCTGACCTTTGACCCCCTGCAGACGTCCAGACGCACCAGGCTGACAGCAGAGAGTCTTCTGGATGAAACGTGGAGAAAGTCACCATCTGAGCCGCGCAGCTCACCAGGATGCTGCTTCCTCTCTCAGGAAAAGACGCATCAGCAGTTACCGGGCAGAGTTCAGACCGGTCAGATAAAATTAATGACACTTTTATAGCCATCAGGTGCAATAAAATGAAATGCTGCTGATAAGAAAGATAAAAATGTTTAAAGCAAAAAAAACCTTTGACCAATTTCCACTGACCATAAACTTACACAATGTGACAATTAGGAAATAAATGATCTTAACGTTGCAAACTTAATGTAAAATTCCAAATAAAACTGGTTTTGCAGCTGCTTCTGCTCTGATGTCTTCCTGAGTTTACGTTCTGCCATGTTTGTAGTTTTTAGAGTTTTGTGATGAGCAGCGCCAGCAGGATAAAACTGGAGCAGGAAGCCGAGCGGCTCGTTAGCGACAGATTCACTCGTTTCTCAGAGCGACTTTAATATTCTGACTGAGTGGATGCTGACTCAGCAGAATCAGTTTGATCTCATCGTAAGCTTTTCCCTGACAGGTTTGATCCTGAAGCTGCAGAAAAAGCAGATTTTTCTCTCTGACAACATGTTTAGAAAGCTGTAAGGTTGGTGATTAAAACCTTTAGCTCCACATCGTTTCATATGGGTCCCCATTTTATTTGATGGTTAAACAGAACTCATGTTTTGGGTCATTTGTTTAAATTTACTGGGACTTTTCATATCTACAGTCATCAGATTGTTGAAATCATTCACTGCTGATAAGCAGGAAGAAACAGGCTGGTTTATTTGTAGACAGCTTTCTAAGCATGAATGCATAAAAACTCACTTTGACCGAGTTAAAACTAGTAATGTAGTTACAGATCAAATGTTTTGTTGTCAGATTAAATGTTTTTTCAACCCCTTAATTGAAAACTGAAGACTTTTGTTGATGAAAGCAGATTTTCCAAAAATGTCTTTTATTATGATTTGGTTCTTATAAAGTTTAATTCCTCTTCCTTTATTGTGATTTAGTAAGCAATTAATCGCAGTAAATTAACTGTAAAAAGAGAAAACAAACACACACGCACACACACACACACACACACACACACACACACACACACACACACACACACACGCGCACACACTAGAACTGTTTCTGTTTCCCAACCGGACCCGGATGTTCTGGGCTGTTTCATAAACGGTTCTGTTTCATTTCTCCCACAGATTCGTGGTTTCCTAAACCCAGCTTTAGGTTGGGGTATTAACCTGGTTCTGGTTCTGATCCAGTCTCTGTCTGGGCAGCTCTGTTTATGTTTACCAGCTGTGGGTCGGGTCCAGAATCCCTAATGGACTCTGTGGTTGTGGCCGTTTAGACTAACCACATCCGTCTCTCCGCTGGGAGTCCAGAACCGACGGGTTGCAGGTTCTGTCCGGACCCATCGGTTCTGGTCTGGTTCTGATGGCTGGACCGTCGGAGGATAATGATGTCGGTTTGGCTCAGGCTGTTGACCCTCCAGGTTTCCCACAGTGTTTTATCAGCCTGGCGGGCCACCAGGCTTGATTTCACCTCCACCAGGCCGAGAACTCTTTGTTTTTCTTTTTAAGTCTTTATAAATGATGTTTCAATATTTTTAATAATGTCTTCCAATAACACATATTTACCCAGTGACATTTTCAAATTTACTCTCAACTGGATGATAAATCAACAGCAAAACACTAGTCTTTTCCAGCAGCCATTGTACAGCGCAGACAGCAGGAAAACCAGATGACCAAATGTAATAGAGCTCAGATGTGGTTGCTAGGTAATGGGTGGGATTCAGATGTGGTTGCTAGGTAACAGATGGAGCTCAGATGTGGTTGCTAGGTAACGGGAGGAACTCCGCTCATTGTCTAGCAATTGAAGTGAACCCTGCTTCGGTTTGAATTCATATGTGAACGCCAAGCGGACCGCAGTCCTCTCCAAAAGCAGGAAGTGAACCACTGGAAGTGGAGTTTCTGTGTTGTTTCCTTCAGCGTTTTCCAACTTTCTTTGTTCATTTTCACATTAACACAAGGAAGATCTGCTAACAGCAGCAATGGACGACGAAGCCACTTCTCTCAGCCAATGAGGGTTAATTTCTGTTTCTAAAATGATCTAACTGGACGCAGGAAAAGGCTGTTATTGTGCTAAGAGCAGTTAGCCTGTCACCGAAATATTCAAGCCTGAAATAGCATATCAAAGCTAACATGTAGCAGCTAACGCTAACATCAGCATCCACATTTCTAAAACATTTGTTCAAACTGAAGGATGAAGAACCTCAATAAGACAAAAAACCCGTAAATATCTTTACTGAGCTCACATAACTATTCATTCAACAGTTTATCAGCAAAATGTTGTTTATCTTGTCAATATATGGTTTGATTAAAACCCAATCATTTAATTACAAAGTAATTAGCTTAATGTAATTAATTTCCACTGAAACTGAACTGAGCTGCATGTTAATGCATCCAAATCTGAGGCTGTAAAATGAGAGAAATGTTCCGACATGCCAGAGTTTAGTGGGACATTTTCAGCATCAACAACATTTTACGGCCAAATCTGAGGAGGATTTTTCTTCCTTTTTACTGAAAAAGTCCTGCATTAAACCTCAGGAAGCCTCAGACATCAGGTGAGCATCGGTCCAGACGACTGAACCTGAACCACCACAGCTCCCAGTGCTCCCAGTAGGACAGAAGAAGGAAATACGCAGCATGCATCTGAGTCTTTTCGCCTTCATGTGCAATTAAGAAAACATATTTTATGAATAAGCTCAGAAAACTGTGAATGTTTGGATGCATTTTTATGATTTGTCCATAAAAGCCGGCGAGTTTGTCTGCAGATTAAATCACAGGGACAGAAAAAGGAGTGGCGCTTCGCTGCATCCTGTGGAGGCGAGAGGATTTCACACCAGAACCAACACATGAGGTCACTTTGATACGGACTCCCACCCGACATCAGCAGAAGGAAAAACTGGCTGCTGCCGGCAAGAGGCACGTGATGCAAACAGCACGTTTCTGCTCCAGGTGGAGGGAGCAGAAATAAAAAGAGTCATGACAAGAAAACCGGAGGGATTCCTCAACCCTGGATCAAACACAAAGGTAAAAATCCTGAATGAGAAGAAAAAAATACAAAAAGACGCAAAGCAGCAGCTAAATTAGACTAATGTGGCGTCAAACTGCTCAGTGGAGACGAACTGAAGCACAAACCCAGATGCAGCTTCGAAGAGAAGCAACAGAGAAATGATCAAAATTAAATAAACGTTTCCGACAGATAAAATCAAAGCTGAATTTAAGCCTTTTTAATTTTCTGGCCCAGATTCCAGTGATGTAAGGAGGAAACTGGGCTGAACAGGTCGGAGGAAACAGGTTGCTTCCTGTCGGTTTGGGTTCAGTCTGATGAGTTCGCTCCTCTATCAGCCACAACAACAAGATCAGATAAACGCTCCTCCTCACCGCAGACAGGCGGACGGTTAAAAACGCTGCATCGGAGACCAGAGCACTGAGAGGAGTTCTCTGAAGGGGTCAAAGGTCAACAGCTCTGAGAAACAGACACAGAAGTTTAATGGCCGACCTGAAAACAGGCGGATCGTCCAACGATCGCAGAAAATCCCATAATGCTTTGGTAATTCTCCATAAATCATCTGAAAACCAAAAATTCAAATCAAACCATAATACCCAGTTTGATTCCTGACATAATCATCATTTCAAACCTCTGACTGACTTTTAAAACCAAAATCCGTCCAACCAGAGATCCAGCCTCCAAACACCACTAACCCAGTTCAGACTGGTCCAGAACCAGTTCATGTCATGTTTAGCTCTGTCTCTCCTGGAAGTTGGGATCTCAACTATTAATACAAATCCACTCATCAAGCGTAAGTGTTGCCATTTCTGCAGAGCGTATGTGATGCTCAACCAAACGGCAAAAACCGAACTTCCAGACGAACCGCGAGAAAAAGATGCTGCATGAGGGAAATGTTAGATAAATGATGGCTAGTTAATCCATGCTAGTGGATCAGATTAAACTTGTTACCAATAATCTGATGTTGCTTTACATCTTTTGCCAGTTAATGGAATAAAATCCAAAAATGTCAACTATCTGTGCTCTGGAAATTTCCAAGTTTTTTTCTAGAAGATTTCTGAGCTCATTTAGGAATCTGAGTTTTCTGGTGAAATGTATTTTATTCGACCTGCAGCTGTTCCGATATGATTAGCAAAATCACATCAATCACAGAAAAACATCGCAACATCCTGGAGGGACCGGATGTGGATTAGAGCCACCGGAAAACAGAAAAATACCTTTTCTCTCAGAATTCTGACTTTAACCTCAAAAGTTTAAAGTCAGAATTAATTTTAAGTTTTTTCAGTGGCCCTCCTCCCGTTCCGTAGTTTGTTGGGTCAGAAGTTTCTCAGAACCCGCCTGGCTCCTCTTCAGCCTCATTTCTCACCAACAGATGAGCGACATGATCAGTAAACACCTGCATGTTCAGCTCTCCAGCAGCGGGTCTCAGCCGACCCGGACCCGGACCGGTCCGGTCCACATGTCGCAGCATTTACTCACACGAACGCGTGGTAGAGCAGGGCCCATCCTCTCGGCCTCTCCAGCGTGTCGTAGATCAGGTTCTGGATCTTCCTCTTGCGGATGTTATTCCTCTTGGCCGGCCGGGTGTAGCTCAGGGGGGTTTTGGCCAGCAGCCCGATGGTGATGCCCGGAGCGCCCCGCTTGAAGTCCTCCCGGCCCACAAGCAGCAGGGCCCCATCTTTGTCCGCTCCTCCACCGCCGCTTTGGTCCAGTAAGTCCCCGGAAGGAGGAAGAGGAGCGCCGGAGGTCTTCTTCTGCTCCTCGGAGCCGCTAGCGACGGTCCTGGACCGGAGCCCCATGATCAGTGCTGGAGGGCCGGTGAGGGCAGCATGCCATGATCCGGACCAGGCACCCGGTGTTCAGCCGCGGGTCAATCCGGGAGGAGGTCTCCGGGGAGCGGGGAGGTCCTCAGCGGTGAGCCTGGAGGACAGAGGGAAGAGGGATGATGAAGAAACGAGAGGAAGAGGAGGAGAAGAAAGCATCGGCATCTGCAGCCAACAGGAACCAGATCCGAGCTGTGCGTAAAACACGCCCTGCTGCTGCGAGGAAACTCTAAAAACTCACCGCTGCGGCTTCACGTCTGGAAACATCAATACCAACCAGACGGTGAGTCCAACAGCTGATGTGAAGGAACCAACCCAGAAACATCCCATCCAGCCTCCCAGCCCACAGAAACAAACACCGAGCCCTACCAGCGGCCGAGTCCGAGCATGGTGCGCGCCTCCGGGCTGCCAGCCTCCATCCACCGGCAGCGGAACCGCGGAGGAAGAGGAGGGAGAGGAGGGCGGAGACCGGAGGAAGCGGAGCGGAGATGCTGCGTGAAGGAGCTCGATACTGAAACTGAAGATGAGGAGGGGAGAACCAGCCAGCTTCATCAGCACCGGCGCCGACGTGACGTGCGCGCACACTCACAGGTGCGTGCACCCGCGCGGGAACGCGACTCACACCTTGATCGCTGCGGTTCTCCTCCTCTTGAGAAAAACGCGTGTCAGCAGAGACATGTGTGTGGATGCGCGCTCCCGAGGACTTGCTACGCATAGTGACGTGCGTGTGTGCGCGCTCTCGTGTAAACATCTGTAGGAATTTCTATATTTCACCAAATTTCAGCAAATTCCTGACATAATGGAGATAATTAAACAGAAACCAGACTGTTGGTCCGTTTAGGGAGAAACAGCAGAAAATCCTCAGAAGGTTGAAATCAGAACTTGACCAAACCCACAGAACCCTGCGGCCCGCAGGGCGCCGCGCTGGAGGGGGCGCCAAAACGACGCTGGAAAATCATTTCCAAACTTCGCCTCTTCATCACTTCATTAGAGGATTCATTAGATTATTTAAACCAAAATTCTTTAATTCTGCTGTTCAGATCAAATACTTTTTAAACAGATGAAACATGGAATCGTTTCTCATGTCTGTTGCTTTTGTATTTATTATTTTTCATGTTTTCATTTAAGCATCGTTCCTTCAGAATAACCACATGAATGACGATGGTTTATGTTTTTGTCTACAACAGTAAAAGTAAAATCCTCAGTAACTGTTATAGTAAGACTTCTATTTTCTGCATTTATATTGTTTTATATTTACGTTATGTATTTATTTGAATTTGATTTGTTAGTTTGTGTCTTTTATAATGTTTTAGTTGATTTTTGTGATGAGTTCAGTGGCTTTATGAAGAAACTGTTGGGCCAAAAGAAAAAAGATCAAGACATTAAATTTATTTTGAAAAAAAGATTTTATTGTAAAGTATAACTGCTAAAGTTAAAATCTTTAGCGATGAGTTTTAGTTGCAACTAACATTCAAAGCTTTTAGTGGAGATATTTTCATCATCTTTGTGTTGATGAAAGTCCATCTGCACTGTAAAACACAAAATCTTACCAAGTATTTTTGTCTGGTTTCTGGTATAAATATCTTAAATTACACATCAAATAAAACAAAACTAGCTTACAGGTAATTTCAAACTTTTCAGGAAGATGTAAGATTTTGTTTTGATTCATTAATATTGATTTTAAAAATCTTGTTCCATTAGATTATTTCCCTAATAAGATGTGAAAATGTTTTCTCTGTGCTGAGAAGGCAGAATGTTTTTGTCGTCTGCACCAGGATTCACCCAGAGGAGCAGAGAAATCCTAAAATAGATTGGTCTGACGTCTGTTTGCCCTTTAGCTACTTAACGCTGCCGGTCGGTGGATTTGACTAATTATCTGGATGAGAAGCGGCCGAACAGATCCGTAATTGAAAAAGCAATGATTTGCCAGTGTGCTGGTTCTGCTGTACAGGACGATCCGGTGAGTCACGGCGGCTCCGAATCGCCTCCCAGGGACAGATGGGATTCAGAGTCCGCGCTGCTTCTTATAGCTTCTCATAAAAATCAATCCTCCTGCTGGAGTTCGGCTTTTTTTAGACTTTACTGCAGCAAATCCTGCTCTCTTCATACTTGTTAAAGATGTCCTTCAAGTTCTTGTATCTTTTTGAAGTCTGGATAAATAACTGGAACATAAAATCTTCTGCAGACTTTTATGTTTTCTTCCTTTTTTCAGCACACAATAATGAGTAAAAACTAATTTTTATAAATCGAATCATAATCTGGGGTTATAATCTGGGGTTCCTTTACCACAGTGAACTGGATTGAGGTTGTTTCCCTGTTTCCAATCCAACATTCTGCAGTTTTAAACTGTATAAATATCCAGTGAAAATGTTTTTGTGCTCTGCAAACAATATGACACTGAAAAAGATGCAGCTGGTTATTAATTACTGTGTTTTATGCATTTTTAATTCAAAGTTGGTTTAAAAAAAAAACAAGATGTCAGACTTTCTGGTAAAACAAAAAGACAGAAGTGGCTAGAATGTTGTTAGTTTGTAAAAAGAAAAATCCAGACTCCTTATTTTAGATGTTAAATAAGTGACCCTTTTTTTAATGTGACATTTTTCCAAATTAGGAAAAGTAATTAATCTGCCAAACTAGGTTAAGTAATTATATTTCCAAATTGAACAAAGTTACAACATTTCTAGACTTGTGTAAGTGACTCTGTTGCTGCTAAGCTAAGATAAAATGTTGCTGAGTCACCAGATTGCTAAGCTAGCTACATTAAAACACTGCTAAGCTAGCTGTGTATTTAGCTTGACTAAATAAAGCCAACTGACTGTACAAGTGCTAATTTTGCCAAGTTAAAGTGATCTATTGATAAACTGGCCATTATGCTAAGCTAGGCTACATTAGCCTAGTGTTTAGCTTGGCAAGGCAGCCATTTTGCTAACCTAAGCTGAGTTAGCATACAGCAAAGCTAAGTTATCATTGCTAGAACCAGACAAAGGGAACCTTTTGTTAATTAGGTCACTGTATATTTAAGCTAAATTACGTTTACATTAAATTTCCAACTTTCCAAACTTTTGGCTCAAAGTTGTTTCTTATACTTACAAAATGTTTAAATGACTTTAATTTTGAAGCAGTTTAAGTGTATTTTCCATATGTTCTGTGTTTTTTTCCACCTTATTATTGATGTCATTTCCTGTTTGTGATTTGTTTGTGTTTCATAACCAGCCGGATCTGAACCGGAGTCCCTCTGGGTTTTTCCAGGTCTTCCTGCTTTCTCGCCTCGTCACCTTTGTCCTGCACCAGAAGGTTTCTGAAAGTTTTATTCTGCTGCCGCTCCTGAAGCTTTCACGGCTGAGTGGTGAGGCTGAGCTGGACATCGGAGTGACAGGAGGTCCTGACTGGACCGGCTGGATCCTCCCTGATGACACACAGAAACCTGAGAGGAGAAAACCTTTAAAAGACTCCATAAGATCATAGTTTTTACTTCAGGAGCTCTTTATGACTTTCAGGCATAATAACGGCTAAATTCGGCTTAATTTTAACCAGAATTTGCTTCACTGGAAGCAGGAGGAGGAGTGCTAAACAATTGTTTCTTAATTTCATTTTTATAATTCAACAAATGTTCTTAAAATGTGAATAACTACTGGCAAATTTTACAAAATCCATTGCTGCTAAAATAAGCTAACTGACAAAGTCGCTAATCTAGGTTAAGCTAAATGGTGTTATTGATCAACGAAGTTTGTTGATCAAATTGCAAAGCTAAGCTAACAAATAGCAAAGCTAAAAACTGAACCTGCTACCAAAGTAGGTTAAGCTAAGTGGCCTTTTTGTAAAGCTAAGTGACTTGATTGCTAAATGCTCAGTTATGGTTTGTGACTATTTAGTTGACAATAATAGTTGAACTGAATTCTCGTGACCCTGAGTGGTTAAGTAGACGTAAATGCCCAAACCTACCTTATAAGAACTAGAAACATATTTTCATTTATTTAGTTAAGGTTTAAAATGCAGTTTATTAGTTATGCAACAACTACAGATGTGTTATTTTAGACTGTGTGGAAAACGAGCCAAAATGGTTTAATTTTATATAATGTATTCAGTCTGAAAACTACAACAAAATGCCAAAGCCACAGCAGCAGGTTTGCTAGAACAAAATGCTAAAAGCATGACTGCAATTTTAGCATAAGTTCCATCATAATGTTGTGGCTTTGACATTTCATGGCTGTAGAAGACCGACCTCATTTCACCAACACTAAACCAAAGTTCAATAAACCAAAACAAACCACGAGACAAAAGGCATTTCTTTTTAGTAAAATGTGTTTTTTTTTTCTGAGTGAATGTTTCCCCAGCATGCTGCTGCTGGCTGGACTGCAGGTTCTGGTTCCTGTTTACCCAGGCTGTGAGGAATCCTTCCTGGGTCTTTGTCAGAGATCAGCTGGTGAATAATTGAAGGCATTACAGCGCTGCATTATATCTGCATGATATGGCCGACTCCTCAGCCGCCATGTTTTATTCATTCAGCTCATCCAACTTTCACAGCGCGGGGTTAAAAGACACAAAGACGGAGACGACTTCATCGACACGACCAGCTGAGGAAGAGACGGGCGAGGAAATCCTTCCATTGTAGACGGAGAGGTTAACTGAAGCAAGTTCAGATTTGGTTTTACAAAAAAGCTGGAAGTCTCAGCAGGTTGATGGCTCATATTCAAGACCGAATGAGATTGTTTAAAGCTGTATCGTCTTATTATTTTGGAAATATTACCATTCACGCTTTGGTAAAAGCCCAAAATGAATCTGGCATTCTTGCATTCTTGAGAACAAGTTGTTAGCCTGAGTAAAGCTAGCTTTAAAAACCTTCAGTTCAAATCCGGCCCAGTCCTGCTGCAGATCCTGATTTAACTCTTTGAGTTTTATTTAATTGACTTAGTCTGTGTCCAGATTTTTGATGCCTGGTTGTTTATGCTACTGAAAAACCAGACAAAAATCAGACTTCTGCCAACAGTTTACACATGCTAGCTAGCCAATTAGTGGGCTAGTTAGCATGTATGACATTTCTAGTATTATGTTTGGGTTAACTTTAATGTATTTTTAAAAAGAGTGTTTGCTTCATTAATTTAACGTAGTTTGTCTGTATTTGTTTATTACTTTTTATAGAAGTTTTTGATACCAAGATATTTGGTCTAATCTGTCATTTTGTGATTCGTTCAGATGGAAAAACAGCATCAAACCACTTGTAGCTGCACTGGAAGTTAATTTTGATCTAAATATGATTTACAAGTTTCATCACATTAGATTAATTAAATCTGATGGACTGTTTAGGCTTAATAATGCAGCAAATATAAAAAAATATTTTTCTTGGTTTGCAGATTTGATTCTAGACGTGAGGTTATAAATTAAAGGTAGAAACAAACAGATTTAATTTGGTCTTGACCTTGAGCTGATCGGTGGATTTTCCTGGTGAATCTGACGGTGGAGCCCAACATCGACGTAAAGCCGCCATGAATCAAACTGCTGCAATGAAAAATGAGTCCAGCTGTCGTCTTCTGCAGGACTGACACAGGATCAGATCTGCTGATTCAGCAGAAACAACAAAACAAACACATCAATCCACACCGGCGGCATAAATCAACGTTTGACCTCAGAGCAGCGGCAGGTTCACAACACGCGTCTAATCCTGGAACCAGAACCCAGAAGGTTGTAGGAGATTCATCGCTTCGATCTGAAGAGCAGCGAGGATCAGTGTGACTTTCAGATCAAATATTTTCAGACCTTCACTGTCATTGATCTCGTTTTTTTCATGTTATTCCAGAGCTCAGAGGTGTAGAAGAAGAGAGAAAACCTAACCTGCACCAAAAAAGCCTAGGAACCACCTGGAGCAATAAAGAAATAGGATAATTTTCCTCATAAAGTAAAATAAACAGAAAGAGGAAGATGAATTCGGCTTCCACTCTTCCAGCTCTGAGCGTTTTCTCCAACCAGCGGTCAGCTGCTCAGTTTTTCTGTCTTCCAGACGGTCCTAATGTTTATGGATTGGTCAACATTGATTTTCCATTTTCTCCCAGTTTCAACAATACCATCTTTTTCTTCAGACAGTTCTCTGCTCTCAGTGTTTAACAATAAATGCAGCTGGAAGTGAGCAAACATGCTGCCGTATTTTTTGTCCAGTCATTATTACTGAACGCAGCAGGAAACTGATAAAAGCTGCTGCTCACGTGTTTCAAAGTTTCAGAAATCATAAATGAAGGCTGGCAGGATGCAGAAATACTTCCTTAAATCTGAGGGGATTTATTCAGCATGAATTCAGTTTTCATATCCGCTGCTGCCTGAAAATGATTTGACCCACAGGAGAACTTTCTGCTTTTGGGTTTTTAACATTTGATTTTTCTGAGTCTGAATTTCCATGTTCCATCCAGTGTGCTAACGTTTCCATAACCTACTGTTGGCCTGGAATGCTACCATGAGCTAGCATCAGCTACCATCATTGTGCTAACGTTTCCATAACCTACATTAGAAATATTAATATTACTGTTGGCCTGGAATGCTACCATCAGCTAGCATCAGCTACCATCAGTGTGCTAATTTTTGTATTCGTATGAAAGCAGACTATTAGTAAACTGCTAGGAAAGAATGCTACTTTCAGTATGCTAATTTTTGTGTTACCATGGAAACGGGCAGCATTAGCATGGACTGTTCGTGTGCTAACGTTTGTTTTTGCATGATTTCAGACTATTAATATTAACCAACTGTTATGTCACATTTAGTCTGTTAATTTCTGTACTAGCCTTAAAACATTAGCATTTTAACATTAGCATTAAAATATTTGTTTTACTATATTATTTATAGACATTACTGAAAGCTTGGCATTCTAACGGTGGTGTTAGCATCAAAATGTTAACGATAGCATCTTAATGCTACTATTTGCATAAAAACATTAGCATGCTAATCAGAACGTTAGCATGCTAATGTGCTTTGTGTTTAACTTGAAACTTTGAAATTCAGAATGATTAGCTAACTGCTACAGCTAGCTGTAACAGCAACAACAGAGCTTCCTGTAAGTTTACTGACGTTTTGCTGTGGCAGCATTTATATATAAAAACAAAGGCAGGAGTCAGATTCCTCCTGTGATTGGTTGCTTCTGACGGCGCTGGTGCAGAGGAAACCCCGCATCGCGACTCTGCATCTGTCCTTGGCTGCAGCTCAGGATGCAAAGATGGAGCCAGGGAGGGTTCCTGTGAGGAGCTGCAGGCAGGTTAAATAATTCATCTCACAGAGACGGAGGAAAGAAAACAGCAGAAAATAAAACAGGAAGTTGAACAAAGATTAGCACTGAGGAATACTTACAGATCTGGAAGCATCACCTCACTGTGAGCGCAGCGTCAAGCAGTGAGCTGTAAATATCTGAGGCTATAGGAGGCTTCATCTGTTCCATAATCAAGAACTTTGACTTTATATTAGCGTATCTGACGGGCCTTTCCAACCTCCTGGCTCATTATAGAAACAACCAGAGACCTGAATTATACATTTAGCTGGAGGGATTTTCATGTGGAAAAGAAGCTGGAAGACGTTGTTAGCGTATGGCGTCTGACTGAAGAAACGCTCATCATACAGCCAGAAAAAAACACCCAGCAGCACCGAAGAACTGGGTCACTGAGAAAAATCATCATGTGAAGACAGAAGAAAAACAACGGAGCATTTAATTCAAAGGACAGGAAGAAAATTAACCATTAAAACCAGGTTGACCACAAAAACCAGTCAGTCAGCACTCTGAGCCATTAACCCCGACATAATGGTCCCAGTGTGACAGTAAATTCAATCAGCTGTTAAATACACTGATGGTTTCTAAGCTGCTTCCAGACAATTTGATCAAGAATTTACAGATTTGTGGAAAAATGGAGATTTAACAATGATGCTGATTCATATCAGAAAAAACACAAGATTAGATTAAATCTGCTTTAAAGACGAATATCAGGAAACAAATATAAACTATATACAACACAAATACACATTTAAATGTCTGAAATGAAGCAAAACCCAAATAAATGAACCAAAATGTATTTACATCTAAAGTATCATTAAATCATTCAGACTGATTTGTTTTTAAAACAGCAGCTTGCTGTAATGTTTCTCAGTGCTGTGAACACATCGGCAGTATTTTCTGTTTCTGTCCTGAGATCAGATAAAGTTTTACTGACGGAGCTCCACAGGGCGCCGCACTCGGTCCTCCTTCGGTCTGTTTTCATTTGGTGCAGTCGTTACAGAGACAATCCGGTTTACAGATTAACCAATTAGATTATATGTCTGGCAAAATAATCTAGAAAAATAAATGGCCTATTCAAAGTCAGAACTGTCTCCTGGTTAACCGAAGAATTTGTTCTGAATATTTCCTAAAACTGCTCAGAAACCCACAGTTGCTGTTTTCCATGTAAACTTTATTTGCATGAAGTTGAATTTATTTTTGAGTTTGTTTCCTCTCAGTCCTGATAAAACTGATGAGCATCACATTTGCTTTGCCTATAAATAAACATGCATTCATTTAGAAAAGCTGTGGAAGTGGGAAGCACCCACTGAGTTACTGCACCAGCGGCGCAGAGCCGGAGATTTATTACCAATAAATCAGAAATCTGCAGCCTGCAAAGACCTGATCGATCATCATTTCTGAGTTAAAATAATAAGATGTTTTCCAGTGAAAGTGGAGAAATTAGCTAGTGCGGCTCCAGGCTGCCTTCCATCAGCTCTGATGTACTTTCAGGTTGCAGTAAAGACAAACATCCTGCTGTACGGCGCACACAGCTCAGTCCAAATATAGCCTGGATAATAAAAGAGTGAAGCCGTCAGGATGGCAGAACGATTCCTGCAGGCGTACAGAGGAGGAAGAGCAGGGCGAGGAAGAGGAGGAGCGACCTCGGAGCTTTTTAAGGTGACAACTCAAGAGGAAAGTGAAGACTCAGGAGAGTTCAGCCGAGATTCAAGGAGAGAAGAGCGAGCTGAAGAATAAGTTTATGTCCTCTGGGCAGAGAGGAGCTTCTAATCAAAGTCTGGCAGAGGAACTGAATCTGAGGCCGAGCAGCACAACTCGACGGCCTAAAACCGCAAACAAAACACAAAAACAGCCACAGCGCATCGATTTTCCTGCAGCTGCGGCTTAAAAGCAGCACAAAATTAAATCAGGGAAGAGAACAAGTCAGGATTTTAGTAGTTAATGAATTAATGAGAGGAATATGTTCACTTAAAAAGAAACTAACTTTGGTCGACCAGCAGCAGTTAAACATCCATCAATAAAGGTCAGTATGAGAGAGGCTACGCTAACTGCTAACAACACATCAGTCAAGCTAATTGCTGAGCTAACAGCCAAATCAACAATTCAGTTAATATTTAACCGAACAGCTTAAATATTAAGCAGAGTTATAAAGGGAGATAACTGGACTTTTGTTATCTTGAAAATATTTCAGCCTCATTAGTGATGCTCTAATTCCCAATCAGCATGATTGATCTGATGACAGTTTATAAACCTAAGACTCTCATCCTATAAGCTTCTGAACTGAAAACGACCTTTAGATGAGAGACTCTGTTGCCTTCATTAATTCTCAAGTTGACCTTTGACCTAACAGTCAGGGTTGCACTCAGACAAACGGCCGTTAGCATGACAGTTTACTCAATCACTTTAAGAAACAGTCATGCTAATACAAGCTATACTTAAGCTAACAGTTCTCTAAACACTCAAGACAGTGAAGCTAATTAATAAAGTGACAGAATGAAAGCTGAGCTAAAATCTCACTAATATTCAAGCTAACAGTCAAGAACCTCTTGAGCTACGCTAATGCTAACATTCATATAAACAGTTAATATGATAGTCAAGCCAATAATGAACAGTGAGATAGCAATCACACAGTCATGTAAACAATCACACTGCTAACATTAATAGCCATGTAATAATTAAGCTAACATGCTACAGAGCTAATAGCTTCTCTACTTAAAGTAAAACTATCAGTCAAGCTAACAGCTGACTGATAGTTAGCTTAAGTTGGTTTGCTAACCGCTAATAAAACCCAAAAGAAGAGGAAGCTGCCAGCTGAGTTGGCAGATGAACTAATAGACAAGCTAATAGAAGAGCTAACCTTCAGCCAAGATCACAGTTTAAGTGACCAATAAGTTACAGATGAGGTTAAGAGTACGGTGAATATTTAAGCAAATATTACATTTTCTCAAAGTCAAGCAAACAGGCACAAACATTTTAAAGGGAACAGTTGAGCTAAAGTTTAAGCTAATATTTGAGCTAACAGCTACTCTGACGACATTTTCTTTCTGCAGATTGGAGGTTTCCTGTTGAGGCCAATGAGGCTGAAGAGTCGCTGACAGAGACGAATAAACCTGTGAGGCCTCATCAGATCAGAAGCAGGAAGCTTCAGCGTTCAGTTAGCACGCCGGGTTCCTCCGAGGAGTTAGAAACTAATTTAACACTTGCTCTTTGCAAAGAAATGAAACGATTCCAGGCAGACACTGAGCTCAAACGTTGGAGAAAAGCTGCAGAAACTCTTCTGGACGTCCGGAGAGGCAGCCAGCTTCCTCATTATGGTTCCACTGATTCTTCAATCTGAGACCAATAACACCCAAATCCACAAAAACATGAAAATCCCAGTTTACCATAACGAATCTGTCACAAACTGCAACTAAAGACAGTCAGATTAAAACACAATTAAGAGTGAAGGTCAGTAGTTTCACACATTACAGCAGATTTAAGTTATATTTGTGTTTTTGTTTGTCGAGGCGATAAATCATGTTTGGTCTTAATATTTATAACATGCATGTGGAATCTGTACTTAAGCTCAAGAAAAAGGATTAAAAAACTAAAACACCAAAAAACTGTCCAGAAGAAAATCTTTTTACTGAAATAAAAAATAAAATCTGTTTTTCTGTCAGAATCTTCTGAGGTTTTGTTGCCATCACTAATATTTGTTTTGCTGTAAGACAATTAAAATCACGTAACCAGGATTTGCCTTTTGCGTCATTTTCTGTGGAGCGGCAGCGAAACTTTGTCTTTAAAACATTTAAATGAGTGGAGGAACCTCGGGGTCGTCCATGAACCCTTCAGGGAGTTCTGCTGTTAAATCCCGTTTTTCCTGAAGATCTTCTCCGCTGCTCCGCTCAGACACGATGTTGGTGATATCAACGGATTTACGTTTACTGGGATCAACTTCCAGCCTCTCAGGAATTTTATCCTTTCTGGAAACAGAGAAATGTGTGTTAAAATAAAGCTGGAACTGAGTTTGGATGCATTTTACACTCTTTAAATATCAGAGCTTCCATGTTTTCATGGTGTTTGCAGTCACAGTGAATCTATTTTCCTTCTTTTTCCCACATGGAGCTGAAAGTGTTAAACTAAAGCTGTAAAAGGTTCAGGCTGAGAGAAAGTTGCTGGTGTTGCTGTTGTGCAGCAGCTGGTGGCAAACAGCAGCAGAACCTCCTCACTGCTTCTGCTGCTTTATTAAGAGGGGAATTCAGCTTCCAGAGGACAAAACGTCCCGACTCGTCTCACTGAGGAAAACTACCGGAGAAACGGGTTTCAGCTGGATCCTCGTCCTGAACCCAGGAACTGGACGGCTTTCGGGTCAGAACCTCAGACTGTCACTCTGAGTTTCTCCTGAACAAACCATAGAAGAAGAGCGGTGGAGGCGTCACCGCTCCAGCATTTTAATGAGTTCTGATTGGACGGGCCGGTTCTGGTCAGTGTCTGGAGATCCGTCGGGTTTTGAGGAATCTGATTGTAAGGCCATCAGCTCACCTTTAGACAGGAACCAGACAGAGACGGTCGATGCTCCGGTGCTGAACTACTTCCTGATCCGGACTGTAATCTGATGAGTCACTTCACGGTTCGGACCTCCAGCCTTCAGAACCACCTTCACAGCAGGAGTCCAGTGATTCATCAGAGATGTTGGTCCGTGTGGAGCTTTAATTTACTCGGCTGTTTTGTAAACTTTCAGTTGAATAAAGTTCAACTTTGTTGTTCTGATTAGCGTAGCCACCGTTTTAGGCTCAGGTTCCCATTCTGAGTAGCTTGATTTTGTTCGGATAGGATGAATTAATAGCTCAAATTATTTATTTGGTATCTTTATTATAATAACGTTTCTTAGTGGAACCCAGAGTTTTTCTGCTAATCAGAAAGACATTTTGGGTGAGCAGTCAGTGGTCCTCTCTGCTGCCCCCTCTGGTGAGGAGGTGCCATCCCACCCCCTCCATCAGCCTCTGTGTCTTCCTATCAGTTTTTATTTCGGTGAGTGAATCATCAGGAGCTGATCTTCATGTCTCAGGAAGCTGGAGGGTTCAGAGGAAGTGAGATACTCCGTTATCCTAAAATCCATTTCCTGCTCTCAGGAAAACCCATTCAGACCTCATCATGTCCTTCAGATCCGCTGCAGGACGGCTGATCTGTGGCAGAGCCAGGGGTCAAAGGTCGGCCTCTGATCGGCTGCATGGTGCCATAAGTCAGCAGCTGCTGCTCACCTGTCGTCATGTTTAATGTGCAGGTCCTGGACCGGGCCACGGGTCAGCAGGGGGGCTGATGGGGAGAGATGAAGGACAGGAAGCGACTGATGATGATGATGATGATGGTGATGGTGATGGTGATGATGGTGGTGATGGTGATGATGATGGTGATGGTGATGATGGTGGTGATGATGATGGTGATGGTGGTGATGATGGTGATGGTGGTGATGATGGTGATGGTGGTGATGATGGTGATGATGGTGGTGATGATGGTGATGGTGGTGATGATGGTGGTGATGGTGATGATGGGAGGGGCTCCAGCGGTGTAAACTCTCCCAGCAGCCTGTGGTTCACTTGCTGCTGCCAGAAGGCGGCGAATCCTTTATGATTCATTATGGATTATTGATCAGATGACCAGAGGATGATCTGCAGGTCAGTCAGGAACTCGGAGATCCTGAACGTTGATCCAAACTCTTCCAGTTTAAACTGAACGTTGATCCAAACTCTTCAGGTTTAAACTGAACGTTGATCCAAACTCTTCAGGTTTAAACTTGGTTGTTTCTGTTGCTGCTGAGTCGATTTTCCAGAAAGATCCAGTTTCAGTCTTTAATTTCCAAACAAAGCCGTTCCCAACCAGCAACACTCTCATTTGTTCTGCTTTATCTTTAAAAACCGCAGGACTTGGAAATATAACCTGGAATGTCTCGGAAAGTAAAAATCAGGAAACATGAACTGGACCTGGACTGGGAAGTTCTGGAAACGTAAAGAACCCAGTAAGTTTGTAAATGCGCGATGCCGGTTTGGATCCGGGTCACGGTCCTACCTGTTCCGGTCCTCTGCTGAGCTGCGGCTCGGAGCGTCTCGGCGCCGGCGAGGAACGGGCTTCTGCCCTCTGAGTTCGCCTTCAGCCTGAGGGAGAGGTCAAAGGTCAGTGGGCCGGTCCGGTTCGGAGTCGTTTGAAGATGAGGACAGAATCTGAGAGATGTTGTCGTTTCTCTGAGACAGATTTAAAAACCTGAACAGAGCCATCGATACGGCGACAACAAGCTTTTTAAGATCTTCAGTGTTGAACCGTCTGCGTGTCGTTTCTCTCATCTTGTTGGTTCAGGACAGAATTTAAAGACAAAAACGGAAAAAGAAACAAAACTGAAAAAAAAAAAGATTTAAACTGAAAAATTACTTAGAAAAAAAATTCTAAACTATTTCAGATTCAACTTGTTTTCTTATGAACAAACTTTATGGCCCTAATTTAGCCCCGTAGTTCCTGGACAGAACCAGAACCAGCAGTACCGACCCGGGGCATGGTCAGAACCAGGTGTCCGGTGGTCTGGGAGCGCCGGGCCGTCGAGCTGTCGGGTTTCACCTCTGCAGGAAGAACCACCTGGAACATCTGCAAGGTAAATAATTCAGAACTGTAATTAGTGAGATTAATGCAGCGACCCGGTTCTGACGCCGACCCGGTTCTGACGCCGACCCAGTGGATTTAATCATCACTCCAGCTTTTTAAAGATGCACTTCCAGAATAGATGGTCAATCAGACTCAGCAGAGAAATTAGGAAAGCAGGAAAACTAAAACAAGCGCACATAAATCCAGCGGTGTCTGCGCTGATGAAATGTTTGCTGCAGGAAGGAGCTGAGGAGCTGCAGCTCCTGGATGATCATCCAGATGTTTGGTGACTCTGAGGCGCTGCAGAGGTTTCCTATGACGTCATAAACCAGACGCTCTGCAGCTGAAACTAACAAACTGAGCCGAACGAGGCAAAGAAATCATTCCATCTGGTTCCTCTGCATACAGCAGATTTTATTCTACTTGACTATTACACTGCTCTCATTTTGCTGAAAAAGATTAGGAGTACATTTTATAAAAATATTTTCCCATTTTCACTATAATTTCTGGACCTGTTAAAATGCCAGCGCCGTCTGAACAGGCTGCTGGAGTCTGAGGACCGCTTTTTGTCTTAAAGTTCAGTCTTTATGTAAAAGTTTAACTGGTTTGTCTCAGCACCTTTCCTTTGACGCTGACTCTGGCGTACGTCGGCTGGACGTCCACGTCCATCAGGGAGGTGTCCATGTGTCTGAGGATGAGACGCTTCAGGTCAGCTGACTCTGAACTGCATCAAGATCAAGTTTCCAAACTGAAGTTCTCAGTGAAATTAAATCAGATTTATTAGGAAAACAACAAACGCTCTGCAGGACTCAGCAGGAGAGATACTGTTTCTAATCCATCGTATGTTTTTATATATTTCCCCCCAAAAGATCAGAATAAATAAAACAAGGAACTAAAACCCAGTTTAGAGTCAGGAGCTGCCAGCGGGCCTCACCTGTAAACGGCCAGGTCCAACACAACAGCGTCGTTTTCCTCATCCTCAGTCAGAGAAAAGGCCAACCTGACACACAAACATCAGAAACACGACTGAGATTCAGGTCAAATGTCACGTCAGATTTTATCTAAAATGTAGCAGAACAGAAAAGAGCAGAATCTGGATCCTGTCAGGTCCAAAAGGTTCTGGCTATTTTTAAAGGAAGACCCTGATTTTCTTACTTGGGTTCGTTGATGTTCATGACCCGTCCGTCAGCGGTGATCAGAGTCCTGGGAGGTTTGTTCTTCTTCTCTGGTTCCCTGCAGAGAAACAGAACCAGACAAACTACAACTCTGACTCAGCAGACAGGAAAGATCAGATCCAGGATCATGGCGTCTAAAGCAATGGATGGGGCCGCCATGTTTTCATCAGAAAATTCCTCCAAAGTGGGCGGAGCCAAGATACAAAGAGGGGCGTGGCCAAATAGGGCATGAGTGAGTCAGCAGGATGAGAGAACACTGTCGCCAATTTATCACTGTGTTGCTACAATTGGCAACTTTTTAGACAGCTGGTGACTTTTTTCACAGAAGTGATGAGCTAGAAATGGGAAACTTTTATGGCAACAACACATGAAAACAGCAGTCGCTCTGCAGTAACTGAGTGATCCCCGCCCCTCTAATAAACACCAAACGCCCCTTTCATAAACTCCAAACGCCCCTTTAATAAACACCAAACGCCCCTTTAATAAACACCAAACGCCCCTTTCATAAACACCAAACGCCCCTTTCATAAACACCAAACGCCCCTTTAATAAACTCCAAACGCCCCTTTCATAAACACCAAACGCCCCTTTAATAAACACCAAACGCCCCTTTCATAAACACAGCAGTCAGAGCAGAGGACATCCAGTCCGCTCCATGTTCACACTACAAACAGCTGAGAAACGATCAGCGCTGGCAGTGCTTGTTATTCCAACTTCTGACACCAGGGGGCGTGTGTCTGCTGGACCTCTGGAACCAATGAATGTAACTGCAGTAGCCACACTTTAGTCCACAGAGGGCAGCACTGAGATGATTCCAGGCAAAAATATTTAAGAATTAAATAAAATTTACACTAAAATGTCACAATTTGAACAGAAACGTAAAGATGGTACAGTTGAGGACCAGTTTAGACAGTTTATCTAAAAAAACAGAGTTTATTTTGGGTTTAGTCACTGTAAGTCATCAGTGAACTGGAAGTAACATGAAATCTAAAACGATCTTAAATCAGCCAGAACATTGAAAACGGGTCATGGTGTGATCCTGACTCATTTAGTTTCTGTTCCTGGTGGACATTTCCACATCAACACTGTAATATTACAACACACCTGTTTTAAACTAGAATCTGACTTTTACTCTGGGTTTAGAGACTGAAGAGGACACGTAATATGTCCTCAATACATGTAAACATGTCATTTTTTGAGCAATATTTGTTCAAAATGTAAAATAACTTTATATTTAATGACATTTTTATAAAACCTTACAAAAACAAAATCTGAAAACAATTTAATCTCCAAAATACTGCTACAAATCCATTTTGCTTTGTTTTCATTTGTTATTTCTATGTCCGGGTCTTGCAGGGTTGAATATGTATCTGTATTTCTACGGTTGCCTCCTGAAGTTGGATGTGAGTCAAAGAGTTTTCTGCCGTTACAGTCGGCCCCTCTCTCCTTCAGCTGCATGAAACTGCGGTGAAACACAGTCCTCACAACCGTCCGGCCATTAGCCCCGCCGCGCAGCAGATGGCTGCGTCTGTGTCTGAGGCAGGTGAGCGTTTAGCGCTCTGCGGCGGGTCGGCTGCCCCGACCTCTGGCAGTGGCCATGAGGAGCCTGCAGCCTGCTCAGCTCAGAGCCGCCGAGACGAAGAACGAGCTGCCAGACTGAATATCAACTTGTTTTGTTACATCGTTTTCTCCTTTTTCATGCCAAATCGCAATTTCATGTGTTTGAAATAACAGAAACGACTGCTTGGATGCCAGATCTATAGAAAAATGTCTTCATTACATAACCTGCCAGTGGGATTATAACTTTCTCAACAAAAAAGGTTAAAAAGTTTTTACGTTAGAAGTTACTGACTTAAAACAAGCTCCTATCTTACTGAAAAGTTACTTGTAAGTTAGTTTTGTCTTATTTCAAATGTACTAAGATATTTGCACCAGAAAGTAGAACAAAGTCCTTCATAAATCCTGGACAAATCCTGCAGGTTTTGAACTTTGTGACCAGGGCGAAGGTGGAGTTTATAGTTATTAAAGCTGTGAAATGAGATTTGACTGAATCCAGACAAAATGAGCATCCTCATCGGAGTCTTTCTGTCCATGCAGCAGCTTCTCTCTGCTGTTGACAAGGTGACATTGTGGCTCTGCATCCCGTCTTCCTCAGATGGGTGTGAAGAGGAGTCTCAAACAGCTGAGTCATGCAGACATCAGAAGTGACAGCTCTCTGCTGGCCTGAGTGGAGTCAGGAGGGGAGGATGATCTCTTCAGACAGTTTCCAGTTCGCCATGAGCCGACCGAGTCCGTCCTGGACGCAAGTCCACAGACGCCTCGTCAACTCATCAAGTTGGTTTCACATGAAGGAGGCGTACAGTCTCCATCACATACGCCTCCATCTCAGGACGTCCAGCTCAGGACTGAGGGAACCCTGGTGGCCCGGACACCAGGGACGGAGAGACGGAGGGACGGAGAGACGGAGGGACGGAGAGATGGTGGGCCAGAGGGATGGAGGGTCAGAGGGATGGAGAGACGGAGGGTCAGGGGGACGGAGAGATGGGGAGATGGAGGGACGGAGAGACGGAGGGACGGAGAGACGGAAGGCCAGAGGGATGGAGGGACGGAGAGATGGAGGGTCAGAGGGATGGAGAGACGGAGGGTCAGAGGGATGGAGGGACGGAGAGATGGAGAGTCAGGGGGACGGAGAGATG